CAGAGTCCAGCTAGCCCAGACCAGAGTCCAGCTAGCCCAGACCAGAGTCCAGCTAGCCCAGACCAGAGTCCAGCTAGCCCAGACCAGAGTCCAGCTAGCCCAGACCAGAGTCCAGCTAACCCAGAGTCCAGCTAACCCAGAGTCCAGCTAACCCAGAGCCCAGCTAACCCAGAGTCCAGATCATATCCCTAACCATTCCACTAAAAGCTGATCTTTAACACAGGAATCACATTCTGGTCCATTTGACTCATTTTTCTCCTTTCTGATACACTTTGGATTTAAACTTCCAGAAAATGACTTTTCTTTAAGCTCTGTCTGGTTTCTATGGAAACGGCTCCACATTCAGCTCCATTTCAATGGTTTCTTCTTCCTGTTTTGCTGACTCATCTTTTACTAACCGGGTTGGGTTTTGACATTCAAAACTTTATTAATCACTACAAAGATCGGAACCCTTTAAAAGTCCAGTTTGGACTTCTTTTTAATTGTAAATAAACAGAAATATGACTAATTGAAGTCATAAGCTGATGTTTTAGAGTTGAAGGCTTAGTTGTTTTTTTTCCTCCTACCGTCTCCTCTCTGTGTTTTGGAGCAGAGGGCCCCCCCGGCCTGCCCCCCGGACCCCCCGGCCTGTCCCCTGGACCGGGAGCAGCTCCTGCGGCAGTGTGAGGAGGCCCTGAGGGGCCGGCCCCCCCGCCTCCACAGGAAGTTCGTCCAGCTCCGGCGGGAGGACGGCGCCCCCCGCAGCCCCATCCGGGTCATGCAGTGGAACATCCTCGCCCAAGGTCTTTATGAATGAATGAATGAATGAATGAATGAATGAAGCCTTTATTGTCATTATACATGCGTACAACGAAATTGGATAACGTATGCAGCCATTCTAGGGCGCTCCGATTTTCCTTCAGAATCAAAAGAATACATTGGGAAAGCGGTTGCGGGAAGAGGGGAAAAAAAATCAGCCGTACTCCGTAGAGTTTCTGCTTTTCATAGATCGTCTGTGGGTGTTTTTTATCGTATTCACACACAGTTTAAGCTCATGCCGTCTTCGGTTCAAGTTAACATGCTTAAAAAACTTATATAAGTCCGTTTTCTTCCATAAAAGTGCCTGAAAATGGCAGACGGGTTCCAAACTCTGACATAAATCCGTCTGCTTTGTATCCTGGAAATGAGCTCCATCCAGCTATTTAGCCCAAAAGCGAAGGCTAACTTTGGGCCCATTTCCGTCCACCTGAGAGCCGGAGAACTGACCTTTAACAGCTCAGACATGGAGGAAAATGACATGAAAACCCCAGCTGGGGCTCCTGGTCCAGGAGCAGATCTTTGTTTTCCTCCGGTGTTCATTCTCCTGTGAGCCGGCCCATAAGTCACCTCAGTCTCATTTAAACAGCTAGAAATATTTTTCAGTCTCATTTTAATGACCATAAATATTTTTGAGCCTCATTTTAAAAGCTAGAAATATTTTTCAGCCTCATTTCAATTACCATAAATATTTTTCAGCCTATTTTTAAACGGCTAGAACTATTTTTCCAGCCTAATTTTAATGACCACAAATATTTTTCAGCCTCATTTTACAAGCTAGAAATATTTTTCAGCCTCATTTCAATTACCATAAATATTTTTCAGCCTATTTTTAAACGGCTAGAACTATTTTTCCAGCCTAATTTTAATGACCACAAATATTTTTCAGCCTCATTTTACAAGCTAGAAATATTTTTCAGCCTCATTTCAATTACCATAAATATTTTTCAGCCTATTTTTAAACGGCTAGAACTATTTTTCCAGCCTAATTTTAATGACCACAAATATTTTTCAGCCTCATTTTACAAGCTAGAAATATTTTTCAGCCTCATTT